ATATATATATATATATATATCTATATATATATATATATATATATATATATATATATATATATATATATATATATATATATATATATATATATATATATATATATATATATATATATATATATATATATATATATATATATATATATATATATATATATATATATATATATATATATATATATATATATATATATATATATATATATATATATATATATATATATATATATATATATATATATATATATATATATATATATATATATATATATATATATATATATATATATATATATATATATATATATATATATATATATATATATATATATATATATATATATATATATATATATATATACATACATATATGTATGTATGTATGTATGTATGTATGTATTGGTATGTATGTATGTATATATATATATGTGTGTGTGTGTGTGTGTCAGTGTTATTAAGATATTTTTTAATGGCTGCAGAATAAACTATTATTGTCCAATGGCGTGGCTAAATGTCACTTAAAGATGAATACTAGTGCCTTACAAAATAATGAGTAATTTAGTAAGCTGTATTTTTGTCCTGTTTTTCTTCCCATTAGTGGAGGTGAATCCAGCTGTAAAGGGAAAACAGATGGAGGATCTGACTGGGCGTCAGGATGATGGACGTCCCTCCACATCCACTAAAACATTCACCGGTCCGTTTGTAATAACATATATGCGTGTACTGTGTTTATTAATGTCAGGATCATAACTTCAATAATAATTTGTATTTTTTTGCTTCATTTCATCTAGAATAAAAGCAGTTTTTCATTTTTTAAACACCCTTTTAAGGACAAAATGATTAGCCCCAATAAGCAATTTTTCTTGATAGTCTACAGAACAAAACATTGTCATAGAATAAATTGCCTAATTACCCTAACCTGCCTAGTTTTTATTTTTTAAATATAAATTTAGCTATATCTGAAGACATATAGTCATCATAACACTCAACAATATTGCGTATTTTCCCAGCAATGTGCCACCCTAATGGCAATGCACCATAAATGCGATGTATAGAAATGCACATTAAGTGCTAATCACATGACATGACATTAAAATTACAGCAAATGATTCATTTTGCTCACCCCTGTAGTGTGTGTGTGTTTCTCCTGTCAGGTGTTATTAATAAAAGCTCTTCTCCCTCCTCCTCCTCGTCTCTATCATCTTCATCATCATCATCCTCAGCATCCGGTAGAGCGAAGATGAGCGTCTGTGGTCCAGGCAGTAAAACTCCATCATCTTCATCTTCATCATCTTCTTCAGCTGGTCCTCCGGCTAAAGTCCATCGTGCTCGCAAAACCATGAACAGACCGCCGCTGCCTCAGGTGCGTTTAATATCCTCAAAACACACACACACACACACCGTGAACTCAGATCAGTTTCATGAAGCTGTAATAATTATGGCGAGTAATATACGTTATTTCAGCATCAATATCATCATGTGTGAATCTGCTATTGTCACATTGCAGGATCTGTAATGTCAAGATGGGATTATTATTATCCCTTGTGTGCTGTTGGGTCAATGTAGAGTCATCTTGTGAAATTATATTCATATATATATCACAGAAAAACTAAATATTGCAATGTTTTCTTTACAATATCATACAGCCCGAATAATAAAAGTAATAATAACAATAATAATTTTGTTTCTGCACAGATCAAACCTGTGGAGTCCATCTCTCCTGCTGCAGCTGAGAAACCCGCCGGCGGAGAGAAACCAGACGCTGACACAGGTCTGACTTAATTCATTAGTTGTGTTTGTTTATGATCAGACTTGTCTGCAGAAACACTTTGATTGACATTCTCCACTTGTATGATGTCATCAGAGGGGGAAAGCCCCGCCCACTTTTGCTGAATAAAATAGCTGATGAAGCTTTCCAGTAGCAGATCTGCCTAATGCAATGGTTTTATTATTCTGGTTGTGTAGTTGTGAAGAAGCGTAAAGCAGGTTTGGACGTTTCAGCGACTCCTTCGGGCACCCCAGAGAAAGTCCTGAAGCCACAGACAGAGGTGAGACCATGAACAACACCAGATCATCTAAATTCAGGGTAAAATAGAGCAGTGTATCATGCAAAAGTGGACAAGTGACTGTTTCACGTGGCCTGGAATGGATAGTTGATGATGATTGTTCTTATTTATTGAGTACCTGGAATGGATTGTTGTTTTTATAAATATATTCCCCTTAGTCTGTAGTAATAAACATTTTATTAAAGTGAAATTAACAAACAAGTAAGAATAATTATAATATTTTTGTTCAGTACATGATAGATAAATATATATATTATTAATTTAATGAGTTCTATTATTAGTAATTGTCAACGGTATTTTGTTATTGATGTTAATAAAAGTAGCCAGGCTACATCAACTAATATAAAAATTTAGGTTTGGTAATGTCAATTTTTTTTAAAGAAATGTATATGCACACAATTTTTATTTATTTATTTATTTTATTACATACACACATTATATTTATTTATAATACCATTAGAGTAAAAGATACTTTACTCTTGTTATTTGTTAATAATTTATACATTTAGATTTATTTTTTCTATACACAGTCATTGTTGTTATTAATAATAATAATAATTATCATAATCATAAATTATATTAAAAAACAGTAATGTTAAGAAAATTTATACATTTATATGCAGACAATATTTATTTATTTGTATTTCGATTATTACATACATTTTAATTATTATTATTATTATTATTATTATTATCATCATTATTTATTGAACAGTACCTGGAATGGGTTGTTCTTTCAATAAATTCTTGTAATATCATTAGAATAAAAGATACTATATTAATATTACTCTTATTATTGCTAATAATTTATATATTTTGATTTATTTATTTTATATAGCTGGCCAATAAACGACTAATAATAATAATAATAAGTGTTCAATATAAGGTAAATAAAGATATATTTGTAATTTGATGAGAAATATTATTAGTAATAGTTATTATTTTGTTGTTGTTTTGTTGTTGATGTTAATAATAATAATAATCATCATCATCCTAAAAGTAGCCATGCTACATAAACTAAAATAAAAATT